ATATATACATACACTTTTTGTCCTATTCAATTATCATTTTCATGGTTTAAATTACAAGGTACTAGTTGATTTGAGCTTCAGCAGCTAGTTCAAGTGAATTAAAGCAATTTGTGAACAGGTCTCACTGAGAATGTATCATTTGCGTCTGTCATCATATTACATTGTTGTTATTATTGTTTGTTGCTTGACTGCTTTAATTTTACTGTATTTTGAGCCGAGTGTCTATCGAAAATAATTTCTTTATATTTATAAAATATGAGTAAGGTTTGCGTACACACTACCTTTCCCAGATCCTGCTTATGAAATTACGCTGCACAATTGTTATTATTGTTCTAAAATTGGTCACTGCATAAGTCATTATACTGATTTGACGTGTATTTTTGGACTTTGCTCAAATAAACTGAAGTAACAAACTAACACATCTAGAGTTGGAATTAGGTGCACTAGTTATTTTTTGCAAAAATCCTTATTGATTTTTCCCAGATAACATAATTAGAGCATAAAAGTGGAATTTGTTATTGTAACGTTAATTTGAAGCTTTAATAATTTAGTTTTCAAATAAATGTCTTTAAAATTTATGAAGATACAAGAGGATATTAATGACTAACTTCAAATGGTAAATAAGTTTTTAATGTAGTACATATATGTAAAAATCTCTTAGAAAAATTTCATCAAGTTTATTTTTGGAATTAAATATTTACCCCAAATAAATCATTACCTCAACCAAACAGGAACTGAATTTATAGGTGATACTATATAAAGGCGATGGAAAAATTTGCCGCTGTTATACAAAGTCAAGGGAGAAAATATTATTACAAGAAAATTATTTCTTGTTCTTCTACCATTGAGATGAGATGTTTGAGAAAATTTCAGCATGAGTTTCTCATTCAGTTTGTTCGCGGGTTTCATTGATCAAAGAATTAATAGTAAGGATCGGTCTAGCTGTGAATACACATAGAGTTTTCGCATCATCAAAAATTTTTGAAACGAGACTCTCTTCACCATCCGATCTTTTGCTTGTAAATAGTTTTAAACACGAAAATATCTGTCTAAAATTATTTTTGTTTTCGCTGCGTGTTATGAACACCTATACGCAATTCTTCATGCATTAATTATAATTTGATACTTCAAGCGAGTTTTTTTTTTTTTCACATATGAAAACGTAGTACATAATTATTTCTCTGTTGTTTATTAATGTTAATATATTATCCCGAGAAGGAGGAAGCTTGATCAATAAACCCATTTTATTGAATATAGCGGGGAAAAAGAATAAAATTTAATAAGCGTGGAAGTCTAGAAAAGATCATAAGGAAGAAACAGAGGGAATTTATTTTATTTCAACAGCCATAATTTCAATTTCTATCAGCATAACAAGCAGTGATCTCTCAAAATCATCAGAGGAAAAGAAATTATGACTCTACTACTAGAATTACTCGAACAATTTTAAAAGGATGTACATGTGATAGAATACTGAATTACAATTAATCATGTTGATAGACCATATAGAAGGGAGGTTGTCCAACTGTGTCATCTTGATCAATTTTTGGCAATTTTGAAGTTCAAGAATTTCAAGATTCTCTAAATTTGATACTAACGGGAGTGTTTAAAGATTCTCACAGTTTTTTAAATACAACTCCTCCAATAATCGTAACTTAGAAAAATCAATGGATAGACAATGGAACTGTTGCCACTCAAATTCAAATATTTTAAGGATGATAAGCTCCCAATATTCTTAAGGATATCAGACAAATTACAGTATGTAACGCTCCCAAATTATAGAGTCGACTAACAAACCTGCATATTCAAACCAAACTCTTGGATATCACTGTCCCAGCATATCTAGAACTAAAAGTTTCTCAGCTGAAAATTTTGATGGTATACATTTTAAAGGACAGTTTTGCCAAGACAACCATTTGAGCTTCTTGGACGACAACCCAAAATCTCCACTAATATATAACTCATTGATTATAAACACCCTAAGATTCTTCATTTGCTCAAATGGTTTGGTGCTCAAGTTCATTCCCTTTAGTGTCCCTCGATCTACCTTCAATACTTCTACATTTTCGGAACCCTGCAGCTCAGTAAAAAGAAAAGTAACTTAAGCTCATGTTAAGTTCCATAAATTAAGCGAGAAAAATGCTTTGTGGACACACAAAGAGAATACACCATGTATCAACAACATTAGAGGATGTCAAACAAATGTAAAATTGCCCGAAAAGTTAAGATGAGAGACTTTCAAAACTGTCTAGCAGCATTCAATAAGTTAACATGATAACATCAAAGGAAAAAAATAAAGATGAATAAAGAGAACAAATTTCATCCAGAAAACTGATAGTAGCACCAATTAAAGATAGAACATATATTTGAATATATTTAAAAGAACATTTTATATATATCGTTCTAGATATAATGTTTCACATATGTACCTATTCAACAATTTTTAAACGTTCACATGCCTACTTTCTTCGAGCGACCTTAATTTCCACAATTAATTAAGTAAAGTCAAATATCTTTGAATGACTGATCATGGAGATACTATGGTTTATGCCCATAAGCATGTTACTTATAAGAATTTAATAAGAAATATGCATCAGCAAAGAGATTTGAATAATTGTTAAATAAGTGATTTTTTTGGCCTTTGGTGTGAGTTTATAGTTTAGCAAATGTCATTTCTAGTTTATAATGGTTGACAAACAACTAAAAAAAATACTTACCAACCAGTGATGAAGCACAAATGATTCTTATAATGACAACAACCTAAATTATAAGCAAGAAACAATTTAATTGAGAAAAATATATAACCAAGATAAAGATGAAGGATTTACTGTTTTCATTTCCTTGCAGAACATCACGAACTTCTTGAGGGATGAACAATCTACTCTGTTTGCCAGGGTCTAAGGGTGATTCCATGCGAACGATTTCTCTTCCCATATCTTGCACTAGATCAGGCATCTGCAAATGATTCCAAGATCTTAGGAGAAAGTGTTTTTGGACTAAAGTTGAAATTACACTTTTAGTATGAAAACCACATGCATTTAATATTTTGGTAAGGTGCATGCAATATCAAGAAAAATAGTCTGTGTATCACCGTCAAGTCCATCAAAGCTTATTTTGAGAATATTTGGATATCACAATGAGGAATTGCTCTTAGTTTATTGAATTCGCATCTCCATTCTTCTGCCGATCTTCCTTGCAAATGTGATCCCAATGTCACAAGAGCTAATGGTAGCCTACATGAATATTTGATTATGTCTTGTGCCAAATTAACATAATCTTATGGCGGGAAATGACTGTCAAAAGCATGCCAACTAAAAAGTAACATAGCTTCATTACCATTTAATAGTTTGGCCTCATATTTCTCATTTTCTCCAAGCTGACATAGCAATTGCTCGTCTCGGGTTGTATTGATTATTAAACTACCCGAACCAAACTAACTTCTTTCTCGTGTTAAGGAATCTATTGCTGTTTGTGGTCCATGTCATCAAGAGCAATTAGAACCTTCTTTGACCCAAGTCTTGCTTTGATTAGATTAACGCCTTGAGGAACACTGCCTACTTTGATTTCCTCAGTTTTGAGCTATGTTGCGCGGACTCTTCAAAATGTGGCCGCACCCGTGTCGGATCCTTAAAAAATGCACTACTTTTGGAGGATCCGACACGTATCTGGCTACATTTTCGGAGAGTCCGAGCAACATAGGTTTTGAGAACTCGTTGAAGAGCCCGTTTGGATGGGCTTGTTTTAAGTCACTTTAAAGCCAAAATAGCTTTTAAGCCATAAGTTAGGAATTCTAACTTTTGGCTTTTGGCTTGTTTTTGTCATTTTAGCTTAAAAACAAGTGCTTAAAAGCACTTTTTTACTTTATCCAAACACTACAAAATAGTTTAAAAGCTATTTTGGCTTAAAAGCACTTAAAACAAGCCAATCCAAACGGGCTCGAAGAAGTTTCTCTTGTAGCTTGACAAGATCAAATTCTCCAGCTTCTGATCTAACATCTGATTGTTGCACCTTTTTGGAATCTCATTGCATGTGAGATAAATTTCTAAATGATCCTGCATCAAACAAAGACTCAAGATCATTAATATGAGAGAGAGAGAGAAAAAGAGAGAGAGACTAACCATATATCGATCTTTTCTAGATGGAAATGATAGAGCAGGTGCACTAAAGAAGCCTTCATTGAATGGATTCTGCAGAGAAATACAATTAATCATATTGATCGACCATATAGAAGGGAGGTTGTCCAACTCTCTAATCTTGACCAATTTTTGGCAATTTTGAAGTTCAAGAATTTCAAGATTCTCTAAATTTGATACTGACGGGAGTGTTTGAAGATTCTCACAGTCATTCAAATACAGCCACTTCAAGAATCCTAACTTACAAAAATCAAAGGGTAGACAATGGAAACTGTTGCCACTCAAATCTAAAAGCTCTAAGGAGGACAAGTTCCCAATATCCCTAGGAATATCAGCATCGGACAAATTACAATATGTAAGGCTCAAATAGGATACAAAAGTTGGCAAGGAATATTGTATCCGATGGACTCCTCTTCCCGAAATACTCCTTTTGGCCTCTAACTTTTGACCTCCTGCTGACAAAGTTCGAAGATTTCGTAGCATTTCAACAGATCTAGGCAATTGTTTTATACCCGTACGAGATGCATAAAGAGATCTTAGACTTTTCATATCTCCAAGGTTATCTGGCAGTATTTTTATTGATGAGCAGTCATCAATGTCCAAGGAATCAAGGGATATTAGCTGGCATATGCTGCTTGGAAGATCCGTAAGTTTTTCGCAACCACGCATATATAGTTTAATTAGCCTGTCCAAATTTCCTATTGATGGATGGATCTCCGTTAGACTTGAGCAACCATAGAGATACAAAGTCTCAAGACTCACTGAACCATTGAAGTCTGGAGTGCTTCTGAGTTGCTTGCAATAAGAAAGATCCAACTTCTTCAAACTTCTACAACACTAAAAATAAACCAAATATAGTTTCAATTAAGATTTTCTTTCACTCAGTTGCAATAACAATACTCATAAAATTGTAAAATTGAGTAACAAACCTGCAAATTCAATCGAAATTCTTGGATATCACTCTCCTGCATATCTAGAACTACTAGATTCTCAGCTGGAAAATTTGATGGTATACAATTTAAAGGACATTTTTTCCAAGACAACCATTTGAGCTCCTTGGACAACATCCCAAAATCTCCACTAATATGTAACTCATCCATTATAAGAACCCTAAGGTTTTCCATTTTCTTAAATGCTTTGGTGCTCAAGTTCACTCCCTTAAATGCTCGTCGATCTACCTTCAGTACTTCTACCTTTTTGGAACCCTGTAGTTCAGTGAAAAGAACCATCTTATGTCCCAGAAATCAAGTGAGAAAAATGCGTTATACCATATGTATCAAGAAAAATGAACTTACACATTAGAGGATGTATAAAAAGAATGTAAAATTGCTCAAAAACTAAGATGGTGGTCTTTCAAAACCTAGTTTAGCAGCATTCAATAAGTTCACATGGTAATATCAATGAAAAAGGTAATGATAAATAAAGAGAATAAATATCATCCAGAAACCTGACAGTAGTACCAATTAAAGATAAATATATATTAGATTATATTTAAAAGAACAACTAGAAATATACTTACTTACCAGAAATGAATTCAATTCTTATGATGACAACATAAATTATAAGCAATAAACAGTTAAATTAAAAAATATATATTATAACCAAGATAAGGATAAAAGATTTACTGACTTTATTTCCTTGTAGAACATCACAGACTTCTTGAGGGATGAACAATCTGCTCCGTTTTCCTGGGTATCGACTTGATTCCAAGCGAACAATTTCTCTTCCCATATCTCGCACTAGATCATGCATCACCAAATAAAGATCATCCCTTTGGAGCAAGTGTTTTTGGACTAACGTTGCAATTGCACTTTTAGCATGAAAGCCACATGCATTCAATATTTCTGTAACTTCATGCTCATAAAAACCATGGAAGGCGCACGCAATATCAAGGAACACAGTTTGTGTATCACCATCAAGTCCATCAAAGCTTATCTTGAGAATCTTTTGGATATCACAATGAGGTATTGCTCTTAGTTTTTCGAATTCGTATCCCCATTCTTCTACAGAACTTCCTTGTAAATGTGACCCCAATGTTACAAGAGCTAATGATAGCCTGCCTGAATATTTGATTATGTCTTGTGCAAAATTAACATAGTCTTTTGGTGGAAAATGACTGTCAAAAGCATGCCAACTAAAAAGTAACATAGCTTCATTGTCATTTAACAGTTTGACCTCATATCTCTCTTTTTCTCTAAGCCCACGTAGCAAATCCTTGTCTTGGGTTGTAATAATTATTAAGCTACCCGAACCAAACCAACTTCTTTCTCGTGTTAAGGATTCTAATTGTTTTTTGTGATCCACATCATCAAGAAGAATTAGAACCTTCTTTGACCCAAGTCTTGCTTTGATTAAATTGATGCCTTGAGCAACACTATCAACTTTGACGTCCTTAGTTTTGAGTACTTGTTGAAGAAGTTTCTCTTGTAGCTTGACAAGACCAAATTCTTCAGCTTCTGATCTAACATCTGAAAGGAAGCAACTACTATTGAAGCGCCGAAATTCTGTATTGTATATAGCTTTTGCCAGAGTTGTTTTTCCTATACCACCAACTCCGTGAATACCAATCATGCGAACTTCATCTTCACATTCCTTTTGCAATAACAATTCTATATCTTTGACACGAGAATCTACTCCAACTGGGTGCCAAGCAACATCTAGAGGTGTCTGGTTGACCTCTTGTAGGACTTGTTGTATAATTTTTTCGATAAACTTTGATTCATGCCTAACAAAAAATTAAAAGAAATACTACTCCAGTAAATAAAACTTTGATATTTGAAACTATTTGATGGTCAAATCAAAATTGATAGCCAAGACATAACACAGTGGGATCAATCTAAGCAGTAAAGTATATAACTTACCGTTTCCTATAGGATATTTTAAGAAATTATTTAAGTTGTATATATTGATAGTATAAAGATATTTTTACACTATATTTATCAGGAAATTTACCGGTAATTAGATAATAAGAGACCTAATTAGATAAATATTTTGATACACTTGATGTAGAGAGCTTAAACTCTTTACGTTTGTACCGAAAGCCATGCATAATTACTTGGTTGTGTAATTACAATGACCTGCTTGTTTGCCACAACGTAATTATTAAATAATGTCATTGTCATGTTTGATTGAATAAGTGTAATTACATAAAGGTAGTAATTTAGCAAGGTACCCATTTTGTTTTTACTCAAATATGAGGGGCTTTATTGACTTTTCGCCAAAACCTATATCCAAATGCTTCTTCCTCTTTCATCCTCTTTTAACTGCTAGTCATTCTCTCATTCAACCTAACACGAAGGCCTTTTCCATTACTGTATAAACCATTTCCTCAAGGAGACTAAATGGCTATTTCCATTTGGAGTCCTCAGTTTTTTTTGTTTGTTTTTGTGCGTGTGCGCGCGCAATGTGATTTTTTAACGACAAAATGCTTTTATACTCCATTAATAATTTTTACAATTGTATAAACAATTCATAGGTAGCTTTCCAATCTATCCCATCGTATAAGCAATTGTACAAATAACGAATAAACTTAAATAGTTGAAACACGAAAATGTACCCGTCAACAACATTTTGCAAATCCCATCCAGATAAATTCGCAGCTTCAGTAAGTGCAGCTCTCCATTTCTCCACCCTTTGAGCTCCAAATGGTCGTTCCTTATGTTTTGCCAAAGCTTCACCAAATAATCCAGTTTGCTTTCGTACCTCAAAAGGATCAACATCATAGAAAATAGGCAAAACCATCTGCTTTAATTTCTCTTTGCATTCAAGAATTTTAACTAGCTCATTTAGACACCAACTAGAGGAAGCATAATTTCTCGAGAAAATAATAATGGAAATTCTTGACTCTTCAATTGCTTTGTCTAGTTTACTTGAAATCACATCACCCTTTCTCAATTCCTCATCGTCAATGAAGGTTTTAACTCCAACATTATCCAATTTGGAATAAAGATGACCAGTGAATGTTTTTCGGGTGTCTTCACCTCTAAAACTCAGGAATACTTCATAAGAGAAGTGAGTATCCATTTGATGAAGCCCAACAACTAGCCCAGTCATTCACCTCTGCCGCCGTAAAACTCTCCGCATGCTCCTCACCCGCAGCCGTAACCCGGCAGCGATGGAGGAAGTGATCGACGGCTATTGTCCGAGGACGATGCGTCACCGGATAAAAAGGAAGTGGTGGTGAGAAACAAGCTTAATGATTTGTTCGTTTCGTCGCCGGAAAATTCGAGAGAGGGATTTTTCACCGGAAATTTCTAGTGCCGGTGGTAGTATTGGATGGGCAGTTCGGAGAATGCGGCCGTTGACGGCGACTTTCCGGCCGATTATATTGTATTAACGCTAATTGCGCTTATAAATAAAGTAAGTTTTGAATCCTAAGCAGAGTTACGTATAAGCACAAGTTAGGTATAAGCACTAGCTGGAAACTTAAATCTTCGGTCAAGTCAACTACAACCCTTCAGAAGGAAGTTTCCCTACATATTTCTTAGATTCGGAAGATATTTCTTAGATGGAGTATCTTTTTTGTACAAAATTTTTGGTCTTATAGTGTAAACAAATTTCAGACTGTAATTTATATTGTACATCTACAAAAGTTAAAATGGATCGAACCAAATCAATTCAAAATGGATCGAACTAGCGAAAATGTCCACCCATATTCAATCGTCACTAGTGATCGATTTGCATTAAAAGTAGTGACACTCGTAACCATTAAATCCAGGATCCACTTATGAATTTGCAAATCATATGTCACGACCCAATTTCATTACAGGTCGTGATGGCGCCCAACACCGTTGTCAGGCAAGCCAACGCGAAAATATTAATAAATTCTCATTTTTACTTTACCAAAACAAGTACAACAATTTCTTAAGTTGAAGTTAAAACAAGTGATAATCAGTAATGTATCAAAATAATTATACAAATTTCCAAAAGAATAGTCTACTAATGTGTGTGCCAAGATCTAGTGCCACAAGCTGTGGGCAGTTAATAGAATATACAAAAGAATAAATCTATTCTACTGTCTGAAATAGAATAGATAGCAAAGATAAGGAGAGACTCCATCAAGCTGTTGAACGGCATAGCAGCTCACCGTGGAAGTCTCGGACTATGATCAGGGACGCGCACCAGATGTACCAGCCTCAGATCCTGTAGAATTAATTACAGAAATGTAGTATGAGTACATAAATAATATGTACCCTGTAAGTATCCTGTCTAATCTCGAAGGAGTAGAGACGAGAGATCGACTTAGCACTTACTAGGGTCAAATAATATGAGAAAGAATCAAACTAAGCATGGTTAATACAAATAATTAACAATTTATAGCAAGAAATAACATGTCCTTTCCTAGATGATATCACAGTTGGCCATTAACATTTCAGGGCATATAACAAAGTCAAATCTACAGAGAAATACTAAGCAAAAGCAAGCGCAAGTAGTGCCGAGCTCGTACGGCCTAATGCAACATAAAAATAAATTGTGCACTGCCGTGGGTCGAACGACGCGAACCATAGATGCATCTATTATCCCGCTCGCGAATCAAACATCCGACGCAGTCAAATATAATTAAACACAGCAACATGCAGACAAGAATATATATTAGGGGAGCAATTACTCACAGAAATCTCAACTTCTCCTTTAAAGGGCCAAGAAAAATGATGTTCTTCTTATTAGTCTCATTTACCACAAATAACACGATTTAGACAATCCAAATTAATCATAAAGTTACAAGAATATCACATAAAATATGCTTTTGGGTCCTAGACTATCCGGACTTGGCATAATAGTAGCTACGCACGGACTCTCGTCACCTAGAGCGTACGTAGCCCCCCCATTTAGTGGCAAATTATTCGATTATTTCACATATGGGGACAATTCCCTCTTACAAGGTTAGATAGGAGACTCACCTTGCTTCAAAGCGTACTTCCAATACCAAGAAAGTGCCCAAACCCTCAATATGGAGCGGAATGATCCGAAACTAATTAAATGAAGTAGGAACTAGTCAATACAAGCTCAAGAGTTCGCATTTTAATTACTAAAGTAATTTCACAACCTTAAACGCAAGTTTCCTAAAATCTGACCCCGGGCCCACGTGCCTGGATTCTGAAAGTATTAGAAGAAAGTTGTTCTTTATAACCCAATGATCAATAATATATGATTTCTACTTCATTCCATAACAAATTTCGTGGTTAAATCTAACTTTTATCAAAACCCTAGGTTTCCACTCAAATCCCATAATTTTCACTAATTTTAGTGTATTAATCTACCCAAAACCCAAGTATTAAAATCACATTAAGTAGAAATAACTTACCTCACAATGCTAGGTTGAAATCCCCTCTTTGAAAGCTCCCAAATCGCCAAAGTGTAGAAGTGAAAGGAAATAAATGGCCTAAATCCCTTTTTTAAAAACTGTGCCTAGGCCTCTGATGTCACATTTGCGACACCAGGTTCGCAAATGCGAGGTCGCAATTCTGACAAAAGCCTCGCAAATGGGAAGCCTGGGCTTGTGCTATTGGGGTCGCAATGCGACACATGAGTCGCAAATGTGACACAGGAGTCACAATTGCGACTTCTGATGGGATCGCAAATATGGCCGAGTTATTGCAAATGCAAACTCTGCCTAGGTCGGGATAATTCGCAATTGTGAAGCCCTCATCGCAAATGCGAGGTTCGCATTTGCGAACAATATCTCGCAATTGCAAGATCTGCTGCAGCAACCAAAAACACCAGAAATCTGGTTTGTTTTCTACTCCCAACACCATGTCCGAAACTCATCCGAGCTCTCGGAGCTCCACTCCGAACACTCACATAAGTCCAACAATATTGTACAAACTTGTTGGAGCGATCAAATCACCGAAATAATACCTAAAACCACAAATTCAACACCAAAACACATGAAATCCTTAAGAACATTCAAATTCCTATCTTTACAATCGGACGTCCGAATTACGTCAAATCAGTTTCGTTTCTTACCAAATTTCACATACAAGACTAAACTATTATGTTGGACTTGTACTGGGCTCTGGAACCAACATACAAGCCCGATACCAATATGATCAAGCATTATTAATTTTCATTAAATCCTTAGCATTTCAGTTTAACAATTTCTACAAAAATTCATTACTCGGGCTAGGGACCTCTTTGATTCCGGGCATACGCCCAGGTTCCATATTTTTCTACAGACCTCCTGGGACCATCAAAATACAAGTCCGGGGTCGTGTACTAAAAATATTGACCAAAGTCAAACTTAGCCTTTTAAGAAAATCTTAGGGAATCAAGTGTGCCTATTTCAACCTAAACTCTTCCAAATCCCGAACCAACCATTCCCGCAAGTCATAAGTCAGTAAAAGCAAGTACGGGAAGCCTTAACTAGGGGAACGGGGTTCTAAAAAGTAAAATGACCAAGGGGTCATTATATTCTCCACCTCTTAAACGTTCGTCCTCGAACGAACATAGAATAGTACCTGAGCTAGGAAAAAGATGGGGATATCTGCTCCGCATGTCCTCCTCGGACTCCCAGGTCGCCTCCTCGACTGGTTGTCCCCTCCACTGGACTTTCACCACAGAAATCCTCTTAGATCTCAACTGGCAATCCTGTCTATCAACAATGGCAACTGACTCTTTCTCATAACCCAATCTCTCATCTAGCTGAATAGTACTGAAGTATAACACATGGGACAAGTTGGCGTGATACTTCCGCATCATCGATATATGGAAAACTGGATGAACTCCCGATAAATTGGGGGGAGGGGGGAGGGTAAAGCAAGCTCATAAGCAACCTCCCCAACTCGCCTCAACACCTCAAATGGGACAATTAACCTTGGGATCAACTTGCCCTTCTTCCCGATGTGTGAATGTACGGGAGAAAATATTATAGATTAATATTGACAATAATATAATGAGCCCTATATATATATAATGCATGTCCTACTCCTAATACACATGGGATTAGGGTTATTTACTGCTATTTAACTATCAAACTAACACTCCCCCTCAAGTTGGTGCATATAAATCATATGTACCGAGCTTGTTACATATATAACTAATACAAGGACTAGTAAGAGACTTGGTGAAAATATCAGCAAGCTGATCATTCAATTTCACAAATTTTGTAGCAATATCTCCCGAAAGAATCTTTTCTCTAACAAAGTGACAGTCAATCTCGATGTGTTTAGTTCTCTCGTGGAACACCGAATTTGATGCAATATGAAGAGCAGCTTGATTATCACACACAAGCCCCATCTAACTAATCTCACCAAATTTCAACTCCTTAAGCAACTGTTTTATCCAAATTAGCTCACATGTGGCCATAGCCATTGCTCGATATTCTGCTTCTGCACTAGACCGAGCAACCACATTCTGTTTCTTGCTCTTCCAAGACACCAATTTTCCTCATACTAAGACACAATATCCAAATGTAGAATGTCTATCAGAAGGTGATCCTGCCCAATCAACATATGAGTATCCAATGATCTGCTCATGGCCTAGATCCTCAAACAATAAGCCATTGCTTGGAGCTGATTTTATATACCAAAGAATGCAGACAACTGCATCCCAATGACTATCACAGGGAGAATTCATAAACTGACTCACAACACTCACAAGAAAGAAAATGTCAGATCTAGTCACTGTGAGGTAATTTAATTTACCAACCAACTGCATATATCTTGCAGGATCGCTAAGAGGCTCCCCTGTCCTGGCAGAAGTTTAGAACTCGGATCCATCGGAGTGTTAACAGGTCCACAACCTGTCATTACTGTCTCTTCAAGAATATATAAGGCATACTTCCATTGTAAGATCATAATACCCGAGCTAGACTGAGCGACCTCAATACCCAAAAAATACTTTAATCTGCCAAGATCCTTAGTCTGAAAGTGCTGAAAGAGATGTTGCTTCAATTTACTAATATCATCCAGATCATTGCAGGTAATAAAAATATCGTCAACATAAATGACCAGATAAATACAGAGATTTGAAGCAGAATGTCGATAAAATACAGAGTGATCGGCTTCACTACGAGTCATGCCAAACTCCTGAATAACTGTGTTGAACTTACCAAACCAAGCCCGAGGAGACTGCTTTAGACCATAGAGGGACCGATGCAACCGATATACAAGGCCACTAGACTCCTCCTGAGCAACAAAACTAGGTGGTTGCTCCATATAAACCTCATCCTCAAGGTCACCATAAAGAAAAACATTCTTAATGTCCAACTGATAGAGAGAGGCCAATGGCGAACATCAGTGTCACGATCCAAAATTCACTAAGGGTCGTAGTGATGCCGGATACTGCTGTCAGGCAAGCCAACTAAAATATTTAATTAAATTTTTGTTTTAAAATTTTTGAAAATACTTCTTTTATACGATTAAAACAATACTCAGTATATTCCTCCGAATGAATAATGAAATATTTAAACAACTTTCAAAATTTCTGAATAAACCCAAATACA